CAGGGCCAAGGGAAGAAGAAGGCTGTCTACACGTGAAGCACACCGAGGGCAAGTTCAGGATGTTAGATAATGCGACCAGATGCAGGATAAAATAAGCCTTTCTTAAGACATGGTTTAAAAGTTCCCCAGGGACATGGTGTATTTAAGAGAGTGCTTAATCCTTCCTGACATCTTCTCAACCAATGTTTTCTATGCGAGCTCTACTGACATTTGAATCTGGACATTGAAGGGGGCACCCTGAACACTGTGACATTACTGGCAGCATGCTTGGCCTCAGCCTAGTATATTCCAATAGTTTATTTTTGCTGTAGCAGTATCTCCAGACATTGTCAAATTATCTCTATGGGTAGGTATTGGTTTAAATATTAAGGCAACTCCACGTAGTTAAAAGGGAGGTTTATTTTGTGAGCTGATTGGCCAGTAGCCAGGCAGGAAGTATATGCAGGACTAGCAGAGAGGAGAATTGGGGGAACAGGAAGGCAGAGTGGGAGGAAACGCCAGCCTGCCGTCCAGGAAGCAGCATGTAAAGAGAGCAGGTAAAGCCATAGAACACATGGCGACATATAGATTAACAGAAATGGGCTGAGTATAAGTGTAAGAGCTAGACAATGGTAGGCCTGAGCTAATTAATGGCCCAGCAGTTTAATTAATATAAGTTTCTAAGTGATTATTTTATAAGTGGTTGCAGGGTCCATGGTGCTGGGCAGGACTAGAGAAAACTCCAGCTACAATTAGGGTTGCCAGAACTAATATGTAAAACGAGGAGATAACTAGGTAAATTTGAATCCCGGACAAACAGAAAGTGACATTTTTCGGTATAGATGTGATCCATATAAATGCCATTTATCTGAAATATACCATTAACTGTGCTACCTGACCATTCAGGAACTGTATTTGGGTAGACAGTGAAATATTGCACCTGAAATCTTTGTGTTATATGTGTCAGTCAGTTAAAAGAGAACACACAGGAGACTGACCCACCCGATGTGTCTCCTGGGATTTACAGGCCCTAGCCTCCTGGGTGCACAGGGCAGCTCTAGAACATCCTTCATGGAAACAATGTGAGTTATACTTGAAACAATATGTGAAAAGCCCTTAGTGCAATGGCTCGTCTAGGAAACAATAGGTCTTCATTGCCCTAGCCAGGGATTCTTTACGAGATGTTGTCATGATATTTCTTCTTCTCTGGAGTACAGTTTCATTAACAGGATAGAGAACTACAGTGGACATAGCGGGAAGCCTGTAGTAACGCTGAATACTGGCTGTGCATTGAAGTCAGCTGAGATGTTTCCTCCTGGGTATCTGGGTCCAACATTGGACAAGTCCACATTCCATGGTCTGGGTATGGCCTGAATGTGAGGATTTTTAACACTTGAAGCAGGGGCTGAGTACCTTGGAGAAAAAGGTATAACTGGTGCATTTGTAATGAAGAGAAGAAGAAAGCTAGCTTTATTTTTTCTAATTTTTGGGCTGTAGAAAGCATCTTGGGTAAAATGTAGGGAACGGAAATAATTATTTCTTTCATTCACTCAACAAATACAATATCTGAGTGCTATACCATATTCTCAACAGGAGGGGAAATCTCTGTTCTCATTATAGTACTATAGATAGATAGGAAATCAACAAGGGGCATTTTTTGTTGTTGTTGTTTTTTCGAGAAAGGGTTTCTCTGTAGTTTTGCGCCTTTCCTGGAACTCACTTTGTAGCCCAGGTTGGCCTCGAACTTACAGAGATCCTCCTGCCTCTGCCTCCCGAGTGCTGGGATTAAAGGCGTGTGCCACCACCGCCTGGCAACAGGGGGCATTTTAATTTAATTTGAACATCTAAAACTCAAGTCAGCACCAGCAAGGATCAAGCTCTCCAAAGAAGGTAACAAGAAAGGCAAATGGGAAGAAACTACTGTGAGTTGACAAAGTATTTGTTAAACTTTGCACTTGAAAGTAACATAAGCAGGAATGACACATTGGCAAGTAGAAGTCAATAAATAAATGGTGGCAGGAAACTCTTCAAAATGAGGGTCATCAAGGCCACAACCTCTTGTGAGGTTGTAAATAGGCAGAAGGAACTCACTAGTGTGGAATTCACACACTAACCAGACAGGCAGGACAGAGGAGAATCTCTTTTGAGGAAGCTGTATGTTGTTCACAGGTTAGTAGAAGGGCAAAGTTTAATTCCCATTGTGCTTTCTTCTTCTCAATCACCAACAATGAGCTGGATTAAGAAAGAATGAAAGTGCTAGGCTATAGAAATGTATAGGCTAAGATGAATGAGGATTGCGTATAGGATACCCACAGCTACTTTACATGAATGGAAACACCTTGGTCCAGGAAACTGAGTGACTGTGAATTTTCATATGTGGCCACAGAGCCATAGACCTTTGGTGAATACATTTGGAGGAAGTGTAATATATTTGGGAAACATATACTGTATCTTATAACAAACAAATACATGTATATGTATAATATATGCATACATATAATACACATGGGAGGAAATATGTTAGAAGTTTATGTTGTATTCAAATCTCAACTCTCTAGATTTGAAGTTCTTGAGAGTAGCGAAGTGAACTTCCTTGTTCCTTTGCTGCTTCAGCCTCTTTCTTCTCTTCCTCTTCCTCCTCCTGTTTGAGATAAGGTCTTAGTATGGAATTTAGGCTGGTTTTGCCAAGGCTGACCGCAAACTCACAATCCACCTGCCTCAGCCTCCAAGTACTGCAACTATAGGTATGTACCACTACATATGGTTTAGAACCATATTACTTGTAGCACATGGCACAGCCATGTTTAGTAGCTGGCATATTATACCACCATATTGCTCTGCAAAACCTGTTGAGGAAACGGAGCAGAGGACCACCAACTGGAGCTCCTCTGTGATGGGTGTGGCAACAGGCCACATCATTTTACAATCCATCTGCAGGGAAGAAATCAGTCTCTTGAGAACTCCTGAACCAAAGGAATCTGAAAAATATAGTGTTGGCACGTCCTTAGGAAGATAAATCAGATTTGGTGGTAGCTAGATATTCTGCATCTGGATGATGGAGACTCTTTGAGACAACTGTAGTTGGGCCAATGATCTGAGTGTATTAGCTTCTTTTCCTGTTGCTGTGATGAATGACGAAATACCCTGACAATAGGAACTCATGGGAGAAGGCTCTGGTTTTGACTTACAGTTATGGAGAGATGTAGTCCACCCATCTGGGGAAACATGGTACCAGGCATGGAAGGTATGGATGCTGGAGCACAAGGCTGATGAGTCACAGGGCATCCACACTCAGGAAGCAGGGCTAGAACAGGAAGTGGGTCAACGGTGCTATAATACTTCAAACTCGCCCTCAGTGACCGGCTTCCTCCAGTGAGGCTCTACCTCCTGAAGGTTCTAGAGCCTTCCAAAACAGCTCGACCACCTGGAGACTAGAAACACACTAGCTTAAGGGAAATAGTGCACATTCAAGCCAAAGCATCAACTTTTGAGAAACGGTGTTGAATTGGAATTGAAGGATATAGAAGCCTTATAGGCTTAAGATAACCTGGGGGGAGGAAAACAATGATCATTTGAGCTCCAAACCTCAATTTCTTCTTCATGGTAGGAAGACATTCAGCAAATCTGCAGCACTGTTTAGAAATAAAGCCCGTCATCTAGGGGATTGATACATCTTTAAAGTACTTAATGCAAGGAAATCATTGTCGACCTCAGAAGTAGTTTTTTTTTATCTTGCTTCTTATAACTCCCCTCACCTTTTATTAAATATCTACCTGAACAATAGAGGCAGATTTGTGCCTAATTCATTCCAAAGGGGCATTAAAATGGCACCGTGATGAAGTAGTTTCCAAGTGATCTCAGCAGGTCAGAATAAGTCAACACAATTTTTCTGAAGCAAAGCAGAGTAAAGATTTTCAGCCTTTGAGGTCATAAGCTCTTTCACAACTTGCCATTTCTGTTCTGAAGCCCCACAGCAGCCACAGACAATACATAAATAATTGGACATGGTTGTGTTACAATAACACATAATTTACAATAACTATTGAAGACCAGACTGGATCCATAGGCCATGGTTTTTTATCTCTTTGTATAGAGCAATAGCTAAAACCAGAAGATAATGCATCTAAATTTGTTCAGTCAAGAAAAAAAAATTGCCTAACACTGTCCATATTATCTATCATGCTCTCTCTATTCATATATAAATAATATATAATAAATATATATATAAATAATCCCAAATAGGTATTATTTGTTCTTGTTTTACATAACAGTTAAATTTCAATCAACCAATCCATCAAAACAGCTGCATCTCACACTTGGATAACCATGGCCATCCTGGTACTTTAGCAGTGTTTGGGTGGACTGGGAGAGGAGCAATTAATGCCTGAATAAAATGTAGATGGAAATTTGATATATGAGCACTTCCTATGGGGAAGCCCTGAATTCTTCTGCTCTACTCTTATCCCAATGGGAGATGCCCTACACTTACTTCCCTGACCCTTGACTTTCTAGCCTCTTTTTTTTTTAAAGATTTATTTATTTATTTTTATTTATTTATTTATTTATTTATTTATTATTTATTTATTTATTATGTATACAGCATGTATGACTGCAGGCCAGAAGAGGGCATCAGATCTCGTTACAGATGGTTGTGAGCCACCATGTGGTTGCTGGGAATTGAACTCAGGACCTCTGGAAGAGCAGTCAGTGCTCTTAACCTCTGAGCCATCTCTCCAGCCCCTCTACCTAGCCTCTTAATGAAGCTGAGCTAGACAGACAGGCCTGAGGCTGAGGTTGTTGCTAATACAGGGAAGACCTTGGGTTCCAGCTCTGGACCGCTCCCCCACCCCACCCCACTACCCCCTGACCAAAAAAAAAAAGGATTAAGACTTTACAGTTCTGAAAGGCAATTCCTTTAAACCCTTTCTGGTATAGTTTTAGATAAAACAAATATATAAAATCTAAAACTGGAATTTTGCAAACAAACGTTTAATAACTTCAATTTCATATTTTTTCTGATTGTAAAGATATTGATAGAATTGGGATGGGTTAAAACTAAAATCTTGCAATGTAAACCACAGGTAATTGATAAGTTTCTTTTCACCTTTAGTGCCTCTCCATTCTACCCATTTTACTTTGGTTCCTTGTTGTTTTGTTTCTGGTTATGTTACATAAAGAAGATCCTTATTGGCACGCATAAGAGACCAATTTCTTTCTCACAATATCAGAATATTCTTCAGAATATAGAAATGGCAGAAGGCTCCTGAAAAACAAATGTATTAGCCTGGCAATATCACTCATGTTGTCTTCGGTGTATCAATCTTGCATAGGATTTAATAATGCAAACTAAACATTGTTAAAAACCCTCCGGGGTAACCTAAGTTTCAGTTACAGTATTAAATGAACTCCTAAACCTCAGTGACTTGTTATATAATGTCTTAATTTCTTAATGAAATGTTCAGTTCTACAAAATGAGTCAGGGATCCAGACTCATGATCCAACACGTTGCTTCTGCACAATCTAGAATATGTTCTCTATTGTGTACTGAGGCAGGGATGGTGGTACTCTGGAGCAGTGGTTCTCAATCTGTGGGCTGTGACTCCCCTGGGGTCTCATATCAGATGTCTTACTGGAGAGTAAGATGCTGGTTGTTCTATACACATGGGATCTTATTCACACCAGTGTATAAAGCATATATGTAATTTCTGCTCAGTGACTGCCCAAATTAATTTTATAATTTAGTGTATGATTGAAAAGAAGCAAAGACGTGAAATCACTTGGAAGAAGTGTGAAGTAGCAGCCTCTTAAACTTGGCTAATAATTTAGAAAGGACAGACACATGAGCCTTGACTCTATTAGCCTAGAGTTGGTTTGTCTGTGTGTAGCTGGGGAAATTGCTTTTTAAAAAGTCCCACAGCCGATTCTCATTATCAACAGGAAGTACTGTGAGCTAGTGTTTCTAATGCAGAGAAAATGAGGATTTAAGATTACTGTGTCTGCACTAAATCTGGACTAAAGAGGAGAGAGCTAAGCCCTTCAAAGTTCACAGTATATGCTATTTCATGAGGGAACACACATGTGTGTGTCCACATATCATCCTGCGTGTTAGCAGGGCTGGCTGAAATCCAGTGTCCTGGCAATATTTAAATTTCTCTGTATATTTAAAGATTCTCATCCCGACTCCTTCCTTCCTGATTCGTAGGAAACTAGAAGAACAAATATAAAGTGATAGCCGATCAGTCCTTGTTCAGTTCAATCAATAATTGTCACTATGGTGCTAACATCTGAGTGCCTTGGTAAAGGATGGGTGGGATGGGTGGCGGGGCCTTGCTTGCTGCTCTCATGGAGTAGCCAAAGGGTACTACGATTTACCTTTCCGTGTGGTAGAGTAGCACAGACTGCAGCTTTGAAGGTGGATGTATTGCTGTGTCTGCTCTCTTCTGGAGAGACTGAGGAGTAAACAGTCTAGCAGAAATGGCCAGTGCCTGACTCATTGTGGAATCCATGTTCTCTAGGCACTGCTGAATCATTTAAGGATGACTGCCCGGGTTTGGGGTTCTTTTCCTGGAGCTGGTATTTATGCTGCAGTCACCTGACATTATTAGCCTTGTTCTCAAGTGGTATCCGAGTGGTGGGGAGCAGGCGTGCCCTTTACACTTAGGAAAGGAGGTAGTTCTTTCACTGTTCAGTCCTGTTAGTGTGTGCAGCCCAGCTGGGCGGCTGGTTGATGACAAGCTGATCTTCTGACTCTTCACTCACCCTGAGAGAGATGGATAGGCTTGAAGGCAGGCTCTTGTTCCATTGTTACACTCCAGTGTGTCTAAGGCTAAGCTATCATAGGTTTAGATCCCACCCATCTCCATGACTGCCTTCCTTGAAGGGTGGGAAAAAGGTTTCAACCCTACAGGGGGAATCTGGAAACTTGGATTTTGGCATAAAAGCAAGTAATAACTGGCAACAGAGTTAGGTCTCCCCAAATTTTATCTGCCCTTTCTTTTGCACTTTTCATTGTTTTCTATTCATTTTTTTAAAAAAAATACAAATTCCAAGACAGGGAAATTATTTTTAATAATTTTAATCTAGAAAATCTCTAAATATAATTAAATATCATAGAACTTTAAAATATCTAAGTGTCTGAAATTAACATTAAAATGAGGCATTTAATATACTACCAAGGCTTTCCTAAGCCTTTTAAGAATAATAAGAATATTTTATTAATAAATAAAATAAGTCAGAGTAATGTGTAAAGATTTATTATAGGGCTGAGAGGAGAAGAAATGGAGTGAGAGCAGGAAAAAGGGTCTCAACCTCATGTAGAGGTTGGGAGCACACTAAGCTGTGAACACAGTCCCGTGGTAGACACTCTCTACTACAACCCCAAAGAATCAGGCAGAAACCTGTGTTAGAAAGGAGAATTAGAATGTTTGCCTTCACAATATAACATTTCTCCCTAGAGATTCTGATCACTGTTCCTAAACTCCTTTGTTGATTCTCACAAGTGTAGGTAGATTCATAATATCCTTGGCATTCGCTCAACCAGTTGAGTGAAAGTGATCCAGAAGCCCCAGAAGCTGCCTCATTCCAGGTATGGAGTATTTGAGGCTATAATTAGGTAATTATAATTATTACTTTCAGTAGGATGTAAAAATAGTACTGAAATAATTCTGTTAAGTCGATGTGAATTATTATGACCTGGGTTTTAATTATAATTCTTAATGGTGGTATTGCTAGGTCCCCATTTTGTTTCACTGACATGAAAGTAGTTTTCTGACAAGTGTGGGAACTAACTTTTTAATATTCTGAATTAGGAAAAAAACAGTTACGTGGTGCATAGTAGGGATGGAAATGATTATAAATGCAGGACAATACCATTGGGTCCATTCCTACCCTACTGACCATAGCAAAGATTTAATGTTGCTGTCATAGTTCTAGGTAACTATGTTATCTTCTGTTTTAGTACTCCAACACACTGGAACCCTATTTTGTAAATGTAGCTTTTGTGGACAGAGAAGCACCAAGGCTTTGAATTTTAAAAAAGAAGGAGGAGGAGGAAGAAAAGAAGAAGGAAGAAGGAAGAAGAAATAAGAAGGAAGAAGAAAAGAAGAAGAAAGGAGAAGAAAAGAAGAAAGAAGAGAAGAAGAAGAAGAAGAAAAGAAAAGAAGAAAGAAAGAAAGAAGAAGAAGAAGAAGAAGAAGAAGAAGAAGAAGAAGAAGAAGAAGAAGAAGAAGAAGAAGAAGAAGAAGGAAGAAGAAGAAAAGAAGAAGGAAGAACAAGAGTTAAAAAAAAAAGAACAGTTACAGTCCAGGGTAGCCCGAGTTTGGCCCTGTACCAAGTCAAGCTGAAGGCTAACCGACAGTTCTTGATGTACTGATTGTGTAAGAGATACATTCCATTTCCTAATGCTTTTGAAACATCTTTGCTTAGTGTTGGTTTCATTGATCCCATCACTGGTTCTGCTTCTCCCATCAGAAATTTGACTCCTGACATTTCTATGCCATAATAGTTGCTGGGCAGATGTTCTGACATAGTCTGATTCTTGAGGATCCAGGTTTCTTCTGTGTTTATTAATGTGGCTCACCTTTTCATGAGAATATGAACTGCATTTTACCATTTTGTGTAACGATTTGGCATCAGATGCTCACTGCTCAGGTACTTCAATTTGAGGAAATGGTCTACATTTGCTGCTTTCAGGCGAAATCCCAGTCCTCCAAGATCCAATAATATTGTTGGCATTAGAAAGTATTTTGAAAAAAGTAATGAACATAGTAGCAAATCTATCCCTGATAGTTTCAGTGAGCCAACAAGAATGTCAGGAGAGGGTTATTAATAGAAAAGCCACCGTGATGTCAGATTTGCAAAAAGATAAGATGTGAGCTTGAACTGGGAGAGCTTGGCAAGGGGTGAATGACAGGAGTGGGAGTGGGGAAAGACCACAAAGACAATATTAACCAGGACTTCAGCTGCCACAGCCAACTTACAAATACTAACCCAGCAGGAAAATTTGAAAAGCACAAACCAATAGATTTTGGAGATACAGTTCTGATTGTTTGGATATAATATATAATGCTTGGATATAACACTTTTTGGGTACAATAATAAAATCAGAGTGATCTTTCTAGTTTCCTTGTCAATTGTTTTTTTCCAAGTTCCTACTTTCAACAAAAATTGTCTTACTTGATGGGCTGAGGATTTGGCTCAGTGGAAAAGCATTTGCTAACATGAACTAGAGATGCTGAATTTGATCCACAGACAGCTTTTAAAAAGGGATTACTTGAAACTTTTATGATGAAAGGTAAGTTACTGTCCTTATTTTGAACAATAGATACTGCAGTTGTTTCCAAAATCTAAAGAACAATGTGTCCTCAGAGTCATGGTGTCAGGGGAGACTTTCTTTAAATTCGGGGAATCTAAGGGAACTGCTCTCTAATTAGCTAATAATGTCAGCACATGCATGCACACAGCTCCAACCAATGAGCAAAATGCATTTCTGTGAGCTTTTCACATAACTTGTAGTTAATAAATGTCATAAAGTTGAATACTTTGGGAGCTCACGACACTGCTTTGTTCAATAGCCTACAATGAATTCAATTCCAAAACTATATCAACAATGAAGTTGCTCTAACATGTTTTAATATAGAAAGGCTTTGATATAAATTTAAGTAAAACAATTGATACAATAAATTTCCATTTTTCCTTTAAAATGCAAGGGTACATATATCTACATACACTACATGCTCACACTAGTGCACATATACATATGGATATGTTATGTATTCCTGGAGAGATACAAAAGAAATCACGGAGCCTTGATTTTGCAAAGAGGTGAAAACGTATCACTATATAGCTTTTTATACTCCTTGAACTTTTATTATGTGTATATATTTCCCTTTTCTTTTAAAAGATAATGAAGAAATTATTTCAACGAGACAAAATATCACTAAGGAAAAGGCAGAGTACTCCTCCTTTTCTAAGAATAAAATATGGCCATTGTGTTTGAGACTTAAGGCAAGAGGGTAAAATTGACTGATTGATGAAAACATGTATTACATTTTCACAACTTTTCCCTGATTGGAAATGCTACATACATGTCAGGATTATTTTAAAATTGGTCCCACAGAATATCAACATAATTAATGATGTCTTCTGTATTAGTTTTTTCCTTTTTTTGAAAAAGATTTTATTTCTATTTATGTATTTGTGTGTTGTATGCCACATGTGTGTAGGTACACTTGAAGGCCAGAAGGGGGGGGGGGTCAGATTCACTGGAATTGGAGTTATGTGTGGTTGGCTATGAGACGACCAATGGGAGTTCTGGAAACCACACTTGGGTCCTCTGGAAGAGAAGAAAGTTTTCTTAACTGCTGAGCCATCTCCCCAGACTCTGTTTTAGCTTCCCATACAATTATTTCTTGCATTGAGCAAGATAATAATCATTATAATAAAACTTATAAAATAACTCACATTTACTAAGGCACTAATATATTTCAGATAGTCATCTAGACACATAAGACACATAGAAGGCATGTGTGT